ATTGGGTTTTCCCCACACAGAATAAATTTGAACATATTGCTATAATGAGCAAAAGGAATTGAGACTGCTTCTTGCAACTTTCTAGTTCCTTTCTCTTGACTATCATACGTTACAATATACAAGATAATAAGTACTAATACATCTATATTATGAAAATCAAAAATTACAGCTGATCAGATCAGACAAATTAAAGATGAATTTGTTAAATGACCGATATTTTGACTCGATTTTAACGTTTTTATAAAAAAAAAAATCAGATTTATAAATCTTTAAATTTTGTAAATCTCAAGGATATAGCTTAGATACTTAATGGCTTATTTTGATAACCATTGAAGGACACGCGGCTATTTGTGTGAAATCATCCTGCATAATTCTGTCACTGAAACTTTCTTACATATTTTTTCTTCTTAACATGTTTTTTTTTTAATTATTATTTAGTAAAGTTTAAACAAGGGGTGGGGTTAGCACATATACAATTTAGATATGGATTTTTACCATTGCAATAGACACTGGTAGATATCACAGTGAACCTGCTGAGGATCGAATTTGCACCGTTTGCTCTAGAAATAATGTAGAAGACAAAATTCATTTTTTATTGCACTGACCCTTGTACTCTGAATACCGATCAAAACTTTTTGCAAACACTGGTTTTAATCAAATGCAAGCATGGTCTGATATGGATGTACTATGTATACTTATTTCAAATTATCTTCGACAGGTTGCAACGTATTTGTGTATTTCGTTCAGACAGTTTTTTTTTCGGAAAAAAGAATTGTTAATCTTAAAATGCATCCCATATTTATCTACCAATAATTTTTATAACAGATCCCACCAATCTTAGCATACAGGTACTTACAAAATGCGTACATTTCATCATTATATATATTTTTTATGTACTTTTATATTTTATCTCTTAACGTTGTGCTCTTTATTTAAATATCGTATTTCAATTTTGCGTTTAAAGTGGCATATAGGCCCGATGGACCGGGTGTTTACTGAGTATACAGTTTGCATACAAAATAATTTATGTACAAATGTCACCATAAATAAATAAATTCCTTACTTACAGTCTTACAATTTCCTTGCAAATTTTATTAAACGGTGCAAAACATAACCTTGTATTTTTCTGACATATATGCGATGCTTTGTTTTCTCAACTTGTGTACTTACTTCGGCGTTTCCAATCAATTCTGTAATTGCGAAGAATTCAAATTTCTAGAATGTTACGTTTATTTAAAGTTTAATTAGTTTAGCGTAATAAAAATACATGTATTTACAGAACTGTAAATAAGAAACACAGAGACGTGTCGTCGCCAGTCATTTGTTTTATATATATACTGTCATAAATCAGGGATGAAAACAGCAAAAAACTTAACACCTCACCATGAGGAAGCAGGCCCGTAGGAAGCAATTTCACTTTGAGGGGGCACAACCATACATTTTCAGTTGAAGGGGCACTATCAACTACCAAAATTCCCTGACAAGCAAAAAAACAAAAAACAAAACAAAACAAAAAAAAGGCCATCAGACGTTTTTGTTGAGGGGGCACAAGCATATAGCAGCTATGTTTTCTATAGTATTCTATATATCAACAAAATTATGGGGGGCACGCCCCCCCCCCGTTCCTACGGCCATGTGGCGTGCTTATATTCACATGTAAAAATATCTAGTGTTCAAGATTTAGATTTCATAAATTTTAAACGAATTGTAGAAAACATAACGATAATTAGGCAAAATTAATATAGTAGAAACACCCCTGATATATTGAATATATTACTTGTTCGCATATTTTTTACAGGAAAAAAAGAGCTTCTTGTTATATCTAGAAATGCAAAAGGAGTCAACGGATCATTGTGCAATTTGTAATCAACAGTTTTAATAAAAGAAGCTTTATGTGTATATACATTGAAAAAAAGGTCATACTTTTAATGTGTTTGGTATGAAGGGACTGGTATAGTTCTAGCGAACTTCGTAAATACCATTACTTTAACAATTTTCAAATATTTTAAACACATAAAAAATCAACTTGTGGTATTGAGCCTTCATATTTATCAAACGTTTTGAAATGAATTTGTCACTCAAGCTCTTCAACCTCAGTTGCATAAAATGTTTAATTGATGATCAATAAATTTCAACAAAATCTTTATATTTCCATAATCTATTCACTGCTTAGGTCCTAAAGATATGCTGTAATTCGTAATATTTACATTTTTTATGCAAAGGGTGGATACCGGAAAGATAAACCAGAAATACCTAGAAAATGACTAAGTTCTTGTGTCTTTTTTTAATTCAACATTGCACTGTTGAAACTGGAATAGCCTGTAAAGCCATGTACGTGTGTATTCTCGTTCTCGGTTGTAAAATATATGTAAGTTTTGAGCAATCATATCTTCCAATGTTTGGTTTATTGATCTGTGGAGGTCAAAATAATTCTGAAATTTTACATTAAAGGGAAACATGGCTATGTCCACACAAGACACGCTCTGGTGGTTGTAGAAAGATACAAGAGTGTACAGTTTATGCTGTTCACGAATTCCCATGATCATTAATATACACAATGGCATCTGTCAATATTAATTGGAATCTCTTTCTTATATAAAAAAAGACGAGTATCTTTTCATAATTTTTGTACTGTAATCTGTTAATGATAATAAAGATTATTCAATCACGTGATTTATCAGATAATAAAACAGGCTACAGATCACAGCGAAATTTACGTGTCTTTCTGTGTTTTTGTCACAGTTCATAGAAAGATCCGACATTATGTGTCATATTTCATGACCATGAATAAAAGACAAGTAAATCTTGTGTAGGCCACTCTTTAAAAAATATGTGTATTAAATGTGCAAGAAAACTCGCTTATTGATTGGTAACACATAACTATGATAATATGACCCGACTCATTCTTGCAATATGGCAGGCGTTCTACTGTTGTATGCTTGGTATAATATAACGATATGTCTGCGCGCGATATGCGACCGTAGTACTTCAGGTGAAGATACCACGTGACCTACACAAAAAAGATAAACAAGGATTTAAGCTTTGGTGTCGTTCATTGAGTATCTAGAACAGGAAACAGTCGATCTAGTGTGTACTGTATATGTAGACATGCACTCTAGAGCAAAGACAACAACACATAATTGCAGTGCGAGGTTTAGTTTTGCTTTCAGCTGTTCAAGGAGAAAAATAATGCGCTAATCAATGCTACATATTTACATACAGGCATAAGTTTCATGGTTTTATTCCACTCTTAGTTTTGTTGATCAATATACTTGAAAAAAGGTCAACTTGCAATTTGATGTTCAATGGACTTTGCTCAGGGATCAACATAGGTGCAAACACCAATTAATGCATACACCCAACCAATCGATGCAACAAACACGGTTGACTAACTTAATTTGGGATTAAAAAAAAAACTATATTCGAAACATTCGAAGTATGAGATTAAGAGTCTTAGTTCCGTGATTGAAAAAAAAGATCCTCACAAAATGATCATTATTGTGAAATTCCTGGAAACCTGCCAAAATGCCAGTCTGAAGATATGCGCGAGTATTTTAAAGAATATAAGGGACAGGGAAAAATATATCAATTCCATCAACGTCCTCAAAATTAGAGAAAAAAAAGTAGCTTTGGAAATGTACTGATACATGATCTGATATTTTTCAGCTTTTTTTTGAGTTCTGCAGAAAATGAACGTCTTTTGTCTATTGTTCAAAATACTACACAAATGTATTTATCAGTGTTTATACAATGCGATTATTCTGTTAATACCATTATAATTTTAAAATTTATGTAATTAATTAACTATGACTTAATTTAAACTGTAGGAAGCGGGCGTAGTAAGTTTTAGAACTTGCACGTAATCCCTTAATTTGTACTTATGAACTACACAAACATGTTCAAATCAAAATTAACGCCAAAATGAAAACCTTTCTAGATGATCATACTTATAATCAGACCTGTCTCAAAAACTTTAGAATAGAAAAAAGAATTCCAGGTGTAAGACCAACCTTTATTAAACCTTTTAATGCACTTTGCTGATAATCTGGGGGGGGGGGGGCGATGATGTAGGGTAAATATATCTCACCTTTATTCACCATTTTTGATCCATATAAAAATAATTTTCAATTGGCGTGCATAACATATAATCGGAAAGATGGTAATTAATATCAATGAAATTTCAAGGTAACCAGTTCTTAAACTATGGAGCACAGGAAACACGTGTGTCACGAAAAAAAAAAACCCAAACAAACAAACAAACAAAACTTCTACAGTACTATTTCGCAAATAACAAGACGTTAACAAAAGAAAAAAAATAAGCCATTCGTCACATTTGCAATTCCTGAATTTTCTAAATAAATACTCGACATATTTCTACCCCTTCCTTAATCTGTTACAATATCCACAGTGTAACATAAATTATACACGTAGTACATGTATGTTGTATTCTCTGTGTTAAAAATACATGTGACTGACTGGAATATACAATAGAAAGTGGCATATGAAAATGATTTACATGGACGAAGACCTAAAATTTTTAATAAACATTTTAATCCAAAGAGGATTTTAAAAAATATTTTTTTAGTTATTGATCAGAGAAATACAGAATCCGCCACTGTATTTGAAATTACTTGTAAATACATTTTTAAAAATATATATTGTCTGCGTATCATGACCTTAATCCAACATCTCATTATTTTCAGTGTGAGAACTTCACAGAGTCAAAGTGGTTAAAAACCCCAACAGTAATGTGCATTATCGAATCATTAAACAAGACATTTTTACTACTTCTGAAATGGAGCAAAAGTATGCAATCGTATATCGTATATATATAAAAATATGCACTGTAGCAAAAGAAATTTAGTTCTATTTGTTAAAACTGTGAACATTCCAGTAAAATTCACTAAGAGCCTAGTTAATAATTGTAAACAAACCGGCGTAAAGTCTTTCGAAACACGTGTTTTGACTTCCGATCTTTTCTCTGCTTTTTCTCCAGGATGGTCTAATTTGCTTTCCACCATGGACCATTTGGTATCAAAACGCGGGAAATCGGTGTCCTATAGATTAGGAGAATGACGCATGCGCACACACAACCCCTACTTCATGGCGGCGTCAAGAAAAGACTAGAGGGTAGGACATAGCAATGAGTTTTTCGTTGTTTCTTTGTTATGTAGTGATTGTAGTAGAAATATCCTCAAACAGTGCTGTTCTCTGATGTTTGATTGTGATGATACAAAGTCTAGTTTATGTCTGTAGTGAATTTTAAGGCTGTTTGTTTACGTTTTATCGATGGTTTTCATCGTTGTTTTGTCCGCAAAGGAAGTGAAACTTCGATGGCTGAACACGTTAGCTCGAAGAATATTCACGTGTAAGCAATGTTAGCAAATCCTGGGACACATAAGCAATATTGTCAGCTATTAAGAAGTGCTATCGTGAATCCATACCAATTTTGTTTTTGTTTTTGTATGCATGTTGTTGCAGAAATCTTGCTTTTGGTTCGTTTTAACAATTGGTACAGTGTCGCTCGAAAGTTGGCGCACGTGTTCTCAGTATTGATTGTCGCCGCTCAGTGGAGGCAGTAGCATAGTTGCTTACAGTGCACCCAGTGTATCAAATGAACATACCGGTTTGATAAATTTATTTTTCACTCTGAGTTTTTGTTATGTTTATTTTCAGTACCTCTTATTTGTTTATTATGAACAATAAAACACATGTCACTCTACTTATTTTGGGTATGTTTTTGCATTTTTGCTTTAATGGGTTACATGTCATTTTTGCACACTTCAAACTTTATTTTCATTGAAAAGACATTAATATAGATGATGTAAATAACTTCACTGAATTAGGGTTTATCAGAACAATTAATACAAAAAAGTGAAAACATTAAGATTTAAAAAAAAAAAAACAGTATTAATAATGTAACAATATATTTTAAGTTAACAAGAAGCTTTATAAATTTCTTTATTTTTACTTAGGTCAGAATAAATAACGTTTTCAGTGTTACCAATTACCATTTGTTATAGATATATGGATCATTTCCTCTACTTGTTGGCTGAAATATAACTTGGAAACAATTGTTGCATCCTGTTGACCTAACAAGTCATTTGATTATGATAGGTAAATATGACTGGAATACTATTATGTACCTTTGATGTAGTTATTATTTATGGTTTGATCATTAACATTCATTATAATTTCATGGAATAATGTATGCCATTTCAAGTTAGTAGTACTTTGAAACTTTCTTGCCCACAAAACAATGTGTTTAGATAATTAGAGAATTACTGATACAATGACATTAGTTGGGAAATGTGATCATTTAGCTACTCGTGAAGAATTATATTCAAATCACCTTTTGGTTTATTGAATATTGTGTGTAAGTGCAGTATATGCACAAGTTTTTTGGGTCACATAGGACGTATGGTCCTGTGTACTTGAGGGACACGTAGGACCGAAACCAAATTTTGTCAGACCGAAAAACGTAATGTAAGAAAGTGTAACATAGTCAGATGATGAACTATGGAAATCTTTCTGTCCATGCAGTTTAAATTACACTCATTTATTTATGTACTTGGATTTGAGTGATATTTAAAAAATCACATTTTGCCCGACATATGTCTCTCTGTCTGTCTGTAAACTTTTTACATTTTTGACTTCTTCTTATCAAGAACCATTTGGCCAATTTTAACCAAACTTGCCACAAAATATGGTTGGATAAAGGGGAATCAAGTTTGTTCAGATGAACAACCCAACTCCTCTCCCAAGGGGAGATAATTAAAAAATAGTTAAAAATTAAAGGCATCTTTTAAAAATCTTCTCAAGAACCACTGGGCCAGGAAAGATGAAACTTATGTGGAAACATCCACATGTAGCATAGATTCAAGTTTGTTCAAATCATGACTCTCGGGGGTGGTTGGGGCCACATGGGACGATCAAAGTTTTACATAGAAAATTTATAGGAAAAATCTTTAAAAATCTTCTCAAGAAAAGCAAAGTCATGATTGGTCATATTTATATGGAAACATTCTCAAGTAGTGTAGAAAGTTCAAACTTCTAGGAGAAAAAAGCCATAGTCAAAGAAACATGTAAGCATCCTTAGTGTGATTCAAGATTGTTCAAATCACCCCCATCCCCTTTAGGGGTAGGTCAGGACCATTTATGCATATAAACTTTTCAATACTAAACTGATTTCTGCTTTTTTCCTAGCCACAGTGCTTTGTTGTAAAAATGATGCATAAGACCTGAGGCACATACTGTATATCAGCCAGGTCCTATGGCCCATTGTTTTTCGGAAAGACTGCAGGAAGCTAAATGATGGACTGTATTGTCCTTGTATAAATTAATAAATATATATTTTGCCAGTATTTTGTCAATAATATCTCTGCCAGTAATATTGGGGATATCTTAATGAGATAGCATATCATTGATAGGAATGGAAAAGAAAAAGGAACAGTGATCAGTCTCATATAAACAATGCAAAAACCCCTGGAACTGTCAGGATCAGGTGCCTAAGAGGAGTAACTCTCCCCTGTTGACTTGTCACACTACTGGTCACACCCAGCACGAGCCCTCAGTATTGATCAAGAAGAATGAGTATTCCCAAGTCGAATTATGCATGAATACTGTAGCTTAACAATTATTATAAAATTAGACCCGAAATGCTGACATTAAATGGGACTTTTGAAAGTTGAGAGCAATATTGAGCTCAGATCTTTCAGTAAGTAGAAGAGAGCTAGGTCTCAAATGGAAATTCTCACTTGCTCTCATTGTTATCACCCCATAAACACAGAAGAATGGACCTTTCTGAAATAAACGGATTTGTGTATACCACTAATAATCCATAGCTCTGTTGTGTGTGTTTTCAGTATTAAAGTTTAGCTGAAGGTTGTATACTCACAAATTTGCAAACTCTAAAATGAAACTGATTCAATAATTGTATCTGTGTCTTACTCTAATGCGCTGCATAAGTGGAAGTCAGTTTTATTTTGGATAAAATGTGAACTGAGCAGGCTTGAGTAAGGAGTGCTGGTTTGGTTAGAGATAAATTTCTCTAACTGCATTGGTATGAGTTATAGTACTTTTGTTCTAAATTTGGCACCTCTCCTAAAATTTGATACAGCAATAAAAGAAATAGGTTCTGGCATGCAGAGGACATAAAACTACATATTGTTGTGAAATTTTATTATGAAGTTTTGTAAATTGTAGTCTAGATCATATAGAGGGAGGCTGTGTCTAATTATCATGTTTATGTCAGAATTAGTGACATATTTTAGGTTAATTATAGTAAGCTATTCTATGTATTCTCTCCAATGCTAGTAAATAAAACTGACTGATGAAATTGGTCACTATTGTGCTAAGGGATGAAGAACAGATTTTGCTGTCCATCTTGATAATTATTTGACTGACTGAATGTAGATCGAAATAAATCCTTGTCCATGAGCACATGGATCAGAAAATTCAGTGAGGTTCTACTCTTTAGGTGGAGTTGATAATATGGCCTGGTCCTGTAAAATTTTATATTCAATCTCTGAAATATTGTTTTGTCAGATCCTTTTAATTTTTCAACAGAAAATTTAAAGATTTGTGAACTTTTTTCCCCCTAAGATTTACACTAAGTATTTGAAGTAATTAAACAAATGTAGTTTTATTATGTCTGTATAGATATATGACGTTTTGTAAGAAAGGTCATTCAGATGACTTTTATTTTATAGTATAACAAAAAATGCTGACTTTGTATGCAGGATAGGCCTATAATATGACTCGGCTAAATTTGAGCAGTTATATGCACATGTACCGGTATGCATGTTCAAGCTTTGACACCGAGCATGGGCATTCATATTTGTCTTGGAAAAAAATTATATGTACACACATTGATATAATTTTGCACATCCCTTTTATCATTATTTGAAAATAGAAAAAGTCGGTGATCAATTTAAATGTATTGGAAGTATAACCCATGTTTTTGGAAGACAGCTTAGGGTCAACCCATTGTTATACATGTACATGTAATCAAGGAGATTTCCACTGAAATGATCATTTGCATTATGAATCATAAATTTTGTATACTTAGAACAGTAGATATTTTAAGTTTGATTGAGACTGTAAATGTATTGTTCAAATTTTGAGCATGAAATCTTGTACAATTTATAAGATATGTGTCCTGTATCAAATAGAGGCTCTCTAGTAAAATGAAACATGTGAAAATGTTTGTGTCCATCATACTTTACCTGAAACATAAACGCGAAAAATTGGGTAAACTCTACAAAACTGTTTTTAAATGAGCATTAAAAGATTTCGTAAAATAATGTATGTGTTTCATAGATACAACATCTTCTATGTTTAGGAATAAGGTCACATGATCAATTTTTAGATATGGTAATCAAGTTTGGATAGAAATGCCAAAGTATTGTTGAATGAAATCTTTCAAAATTTTGCACCACATACAGACACAGAATAATAATATTTTTGTTTAGTATTGGAAGAAAATTTGAATATTTGTGTAATTAGGGTTGTCTCTAAGACCATGGTGGTGGGGAATTTCCCCTCCTATAATGACATAATCCCCCCCTCCCCCCTGGTTACTCTGGTATTCTTCCTGATCACCCTGTTAATGGAGGAATCCCAGACCCCCTTCTACTTTTTAAATGTCCCCTGCTATTTTAATTCTTAGGGACAACCCTGATATAGTAACATTTTGAAAGTGTTCAGCTGAATATTAACCAGGAAATGAACGGAAAATATATGAACAAAAAAAAAAAAAGACGTGCCGAAATTAATTGCCTCTCACACCTTATGTATGGTCTAATATTTAATACAAAAGACTGTATGCAGAAAACCCACTGAAATGTTTTAAATAAAGAACAAATTTTAGCCACATTAGTAAAATGTAAACTATATTATTAGATAAAAATTGTACTCTGGTTCGTTGTTATGGTGCATACAATTTTGCTAGAATCAGTACGTACATGACATTATTACATTCTGAGTATCATTTTTACCAGCAATTAAAGTTTGTGGAAAATGTTCATTTAATTTTTTAATGAAAAGATTGTATTCCACTTATTTTCTGAAACGTTTTGATACTTTTGAAAACAGATTCATTACTAAACTTCTAGGTGACCTCAGATTGGTCGTATTTGTGGGCAAGGGATAGAGTGAAATCTAACATTACACGTATTTACATCCACAAGAATATGATGAATAAGAATTCATCAGTTCTGCAGGCATCCAAGTTAAGTTCTAACTATAAGTGCACTGTGCACTCAGTGTAAAAATTTTAAGAGAAATTCTTTTGTGTACTGTCAGGGTCCAGATAAAAGATAACAAGGAAACTATTTTTTGTGCACATCCTGCAAGATTATAAACAGCATAGAAAGATCATTAGCATTCCAAACCCTACAGTGACAGTAGAATGAATTTTTTTTTTTTTTAAAAAAGGTTTCATGTTATCAGTAGTTACTCAAGATGAAATAATTTTTCATGTATACACCTCTCATATGGAAACAGCATAGATTGTACAATAGATTTTTTTTCAGTTCACATCTAACTTGCACTGTTGTTAAGGGAAGATGCAGTGTTTATATTGTTGAGGGTCTGTGTTAATACATGTATGTGCAAATTCAGTTTACATCCTTGTACATGTAGCCTGAAGTCTCTTTTGGTTGACTATGGATCTAGTATGCCCATTATGAAATAGTCTATCTCTGTACAATCATTGGAGCATGGCTATGGGTTAAACAGGCCTGCAAGAATGTAGGTCACTGCTATTAAATGTCTGTACATTCATAGTCTCAGCTAGAAGGAAAAAAAAATTCTCAAGAATTTTGCATACAGAGTTTCCTTGATTGCCCTTGTGGTTTCCATGCATTTGAGTGATTGATATAAATATATGTATACATTTTTTTCTGAATGTTTGTTGAATGCTGAATTAGAATGTAAAGACATAATGTGCACATAAGTGTTTGGTTGGTGTATGTTGGGTTGTTGTGAGGTACATATCACACTTTTACAAGGACAAAGAGTAGTTATCAGACTACTATAGTTAACCTTTAATTGTAAGTATACAGTTACAGGATATTACAAAAGTAGACATCTAGAGCAGATTATAGCTTTGAACTATAAACCATGTAAACTGAACATAGTACAGAGCATCCTTTGAATATAAATTAGTCTTTTGTTGAAGAAAACTTATGTATCCCCTTTTGAAAGTATGAATTCTTTGGTATTGTCTTAGAAGCATATGGCATGTGAAGGAAATGTTAATCACTTATGGGAACCTTGAATTGTGAGATTTTTAATGTGATAGGTATAAAGTCATAAGGTGTTTTATGCTGAACTTTAACAGACCTGTACATATATATATATACATTGTATGCCAAGATTAATAACATTTCAGTGTAATTGGCTAATGGTAAACAGGAAAGTATTGATCAATAATCCTGTTTTCCAGAGGTGGTAATGGTGAGTGCAGGAGTGTGATACAAAATGGCTGCCACTGTTGCTGAAGGGGAAGTTGAGAATGGAGTTGCTGCAGAAGACCCTGAACCACCATGTATAAAAGGAAAGCTGGTAGAAGTCTGTAGTGAAGACATTTCTGATCTTAAGTCTAAAAATGAAAAACTTGCCAATGGCCCATTAGAAAATCCCATTTCTAATGGTTTTCACAGTGACGAAGAAGAGAAATATGACAATGACCATGATGAATCTGAAGTTAAAACTGATGATAGATCTGCAATGAATGGTTCTGTGTCTGAAGTTCCAAATGATGCAAATGCTGCTACCCCAAGCATGGAATCAAATGATGTAAAGGAAGCAAAAGAACAGAAGGAGCCGAATACTTCAAGAGATAGTACCCCTTTAAGTGACATTAGTACTCCGACTCCAGAGGTCTCAAGGAGCGGCACACCTGTCCCTACACAAGAGAAGTCGGAGGACATTAAACCAGAGAAAGTACCTCTTCCATTGGCTCAGGAGAAAATCTCCCGAAGCTCTGAAGAGAGATCCATGGATTCCACTGATAGTGGAACAAGCAATAAGAGCTCCTCCTCTGCTTTCAAAAATAAATCAACCCCTAAAGCAAGAAAATCAGGTCCCTCAGCTAAAAATATTCTCCCATCAGCACTTGCAATCAAGTCTTCAAGTTCATCTGGAGAAAATGTGAAATTAAATTTACCCCAATTTAATAATGCTATTACTGTAGATAGTAAATTTTTAGAGAAAATTAGTAAAATTTCTAATGTAAAACATGACATTAAACATGATAAGGTTCACACTGTTCTACCAATTGCTAAAGACGATGTTGAAAATGGTGGCATTAAGCAAACTGTGAAAAAATCTAGGGCCTCTCTGCCAATAAATTCTCAACCGAAGATCAAAACAGATGTTGCAGAGAAAAGTGAGGGTAATCTCTCAGACTCTTCTCTACTTGAAAAGGATGCGTTTGGGAAGATCAAGAAAAGATCAAAGAAAAGAAGGAAAATGGGAGCTTATAAACTTCCTAGTGAGATCAAGAAAAAATTCGGCAACAAAAAGAAAGATGGAGATACCAGTAGTGTGAAAGATGAAAAAGAAGACGAGGACTCGAAGAGTGTCAGTTGTGAAGAAAAGTTAGGTCATGTAGGAAGTGCTAAGAGTTTAACCAACAGCAAGCAGTGTAGTCCTGGAAATGGTGCTAAAAGATCGGCATGGGACATCATGAAATCCCCAAAAATTACTCCGAAAGGAAAAAATACTCTTGGTAGCACCAGAAATAAAAGCATGTCAAATTCTGTACAAGAAAAATCCAAAGCACAGACTTCACTTGATTCATTCCTGAATCGCTGTGATCAGAATTCTAGTCAAATAGGACCTCAGGTAGGTTTCATGTTAAATTTCTCTGGAATGAATTCATTGGTTTATGCCACTGTCATGTCTATCTCTAAAGTAGTTGACAGATGTTGCATATTTTGTAATGTTTAATATGGTAGTATGCATTTGCTATATGGCATGCAAAGTTTACACAAAAAGTGTCGTATTTGCATTTAGCCTTTTGAAGATGCAAGTTGCTTTAAATTTATAGTGCTCTATATTGCAATTTTTTCTCAGAATAAAGAGGATCGGTTCACTGGGATAAAAGACAGAAGATCTGGATTAAGGAAAAGGAAAAAGGAAGGTAAAATTGTCATGAAGCATTTTTTTCCCCACAAAATAATGACTTACGTTATAATTATTCATGACATACAGATAAAGGATGATTTTTTTTTTAGATGACCTGGATGATGAAGAAGATGATATAGAAACAAAAGATAAGAAAGAAGCTGATACCAATACAGGTAAGATCAGCTGTTAAAACATAGGAGAGATTAGGGATGATTGAAGAAGGAAGTCAGTGTTCAGCAAAACATTTTCATTTCAGGAAATAAGAAGAAAAGGAAAGAGGAAACTATAACAATAGTGTCAGCAAGTCCTTCAGTAGCGGCCCCTATTGGCTACCAGTCCCTGCTCACTCCCCAGAAAACTGGTGGCATTATTACTTCAGTTCATAATACTTCTACTTTACATTTTATTTCCACATCTTCAGCATCCTCATCTCCAAAAGCAGCAACAACTGTCGTATCATCATCATTGTTACCGCAGAACTTCACAAATGTCGTTTCAAATATTAATGCTCCAACTGCAATTTCACCAGGCTCTCAGAATGTAAGACTGCCCACTTTTACGAAGGGGAACTTTGTCGCAACTGGACATGCTCCGTTGCTCTTGGTTCCTGTTAATAATAGTGGGCAGATGGTGAATGCTGTTCCAATACCTACCTCAGGGTCAGCAGGTCAGAAGATCATTTTATCTGTTCCAGACCCAAAGTTAAATCCAACAAACAAATTGGGGGGTTCCCCTCCAAGGTACATTTTGATGCAAAATGTTCACAGTGGTTTTGTGCCACATTCTACCTTGGCACTGGGGACCACTGTAAGGCCCCACTTAATCACTTCAACTGTTGCTGGACTAGCAGCAGTTCCTATCTCCAAACCCATCAACAGTTCTCCATCCAGTTCCAATCCCATTTCTGTGTATAGTAATCAGTTGTATGGCGAAAAACCTTCTGTGATAAATAACCTATCTAATAAACTTGATGCGGTGGACAAAAGAGACCTGGAGGTGATAGAGGATGACCGGTCTGTCTCGCCTTCACCCAGCAGTCTGAGTTATCCAGTCACGCCCCCAAAAACCCCAGAAGAGGATGGCAGCGAGGACTCTATGTCTGTTTCTTCAGTAAGTAATCTGCTTTCTTTTCCCCCCAAAGATTTCAAAATATAAACCATGTACATGTATTTTAACCCTTTAAACAAAGTCCAAACTGTTTAAGAATTTTTATTTGAATTGAAGGTTTAGGGATTGCGGTTAAACTTTACTACTATTGTTGTGTTTTAAATGTTATATAGTGAATTGTCTTTCATAAACTTGGTTTATTTTGGGGGGATTGAAACATATTTCTTGTTGATGATTCTGAAACCTTAGATTTGTTTTTCTTAGCTTCGTAATCATGGTAATGCAACATTTGTCGGGATTAAATATGTCCATGTAAGTTTTTGATGTATCAACAATAGCTACATATTCTATAAATATTGTGATTAGTGTGTAGCTTTTTATTTTTGGTTTATTTGGTGGCTGCAGCAGTTGTCTCATTTTATTTTCTATCCACAGCTTGCCTCTTATTTGACTGGTTTGTTAAATGAATAGACAATCCTAAAAAAAAAACAAGTTATAGCTGTTTAATGGACACTTTCAGTTAATGTATTTCATAAGTTACTTGGAGAGTTAATGGAAGAATTGGAGTAAAATACAAACTGTTCATGTAAAATGACATACATGTACATGTATATGTTTTGGGTTTTTTTTCCTAAGACTGAATTTTGTTTGATCAAAAAGATGATCGAACACTCAATTCAGAAATGAAATTAGTTTTGACATGCAGAACATGAATTTTTGTTCACTTTTATATCTGTTTCAGTTTGTTAAGCATGGCAGATAATTTAAGTTGGCATGGTTAAGTTTATAGTTTCACTGTATTTTCAGTGATTATATGCTTTATCTTGGTTACCAAGTTACTTCTTTATTCCACCATAAAACAGAATTTTAGATTACTGAAAATAAGTTAGATAATCTTCTACATGTGGTGTTAAAGTTATTTTTTTTTATACTTAGTTTTAAACCCAATATTTTTAAAATTCAGAAAAATATACCACCATGTTTGCAATTGGTTTTAAGAGAATATATGTGTAAAGTTTCTAAAAACATGCATGAATAATCATCTATCCATAACCTTTATTTCAAAAATGGTAAATAAAAGATAAGTACCATCTACAAGCATGACTGTGTACAAGGAAATGGGTGAGGGACTATTTTGGTGATAAATTCCATTGCAATGCCCACAGAGATTAAATCAAAATTGTATAATTGTTTAAATAAAATTCAGTAGATCTACAAAAAATGTTCCTTGGTATAATTTTTTAGGATAAATGTATGTTGTAAATTTGCTGTTGTGTTTAGCATGACTATTGTGTATTTTACTTGTAGACAAATGATTTTCAGTATTTAAAGAATTTTCAGTTTGTTATCAGTATGTAATTTAAAGTCTAAAAGCATAAGGATTCCAACACAATTTATCTTATCCCCCTTCTTCCATCTTTCTTTAAACTGTATACATAACTTTCAGATTGTCATTGCTACCTCATAGACTACTGTATGGTTTAACTGATTTTGTCAAACTTGGCACATTGTAGAATATCAGTATGAGAGTTAAGACCTATAAAGATAATCTTTGACATAACATTGTATCGGACACTAAGTCTGTTTTAAGCACAGTGGAAGGGACTTTGGTCTAACTTGTTATTTGTACAGATGTAGTGTATACCTTTCAGCCAGAGAATGGATTCCAGGCCATTGCTTTCTTTATGTGCAACAATGTGAAATATTTTTTGAACTCTAAGAGGTGGAAGCATGGTTTACATAGATAACTTCCAAAGTCCATTTTATTGACTCTGTGGTTCACATCTTGTGACCTAGACCTTCAAATTCCCCCATTTCTATCAATTCCATCAATGATTTCTTGGTTTTTTTGTTACTTCTGAAGATCTACCTTTGCAAGAACCATTGCTCATATTGAAACTATCATAAAATGAACTTCTTAGAATTATGTCGTATATAAGTAACTATTTGATTGTATGGCCATTGATCCAAGAAACAAGATTAAAGTACAGCCATTTTCTGATGAGTTGAATGAAACATTACAAATGCAGACAGCATATTGGAGGGTTAACGACACAGATTTAAAGTTTATATCCTTAAAAAATTTAGGTAGAAATTCAAGACTTGCATGTTTTGAGAACAATTCAGACTAATATATTGTGAAAGCATATTTAGAAACTTCTTTTATCTGAAAATTACCAAAATGTGAATTTTGATTGCAAGTGTGCCTATGACCCTTTAGGAGAAATATAATTTTAAACAATATCATATTATTTTGGTGATGAACAGTATTGTATATTTTCTAAAGACCACTAGCAGTTTTACTAGCAATAAGCTGACTGTAATCAAAGTATGACCTCATTTTTGTCGAAGTTGTATTAGATATGGCACAGATGTAGCCACAATAAGAAACATTATCTTTGTTTTGAATTTTTATCATGATCAACGAACTGAAACATTACATCTGTTTAACTAAATGTAGACCAATCTGGAAATTACTTGGAAAAGGTTCTCTTTTGACAATCTCTCTACAACTCAAATGAAATTTGGTACTTATTTACAATGAGACATAGAGATTCATAACTCATTGTAGAAGTAATTGTAATGTTGCCACTATTACTAAAAATAGAATTGTATTATTTCAGAATGGTTCAGTTTAGCTGTGTTTAGTTCAGACCATTAGAGACCTCTCATTGGATAGTTAATGAATGCACACTAAATAAGTAGTCTGTGATTGTAGGCCCCTCCTGGTCCTATTCCACCAGACAAGGATGTGATCCCTCTGTGTTGCTGTAAAATTAATGGTGCTTGTTTTAAGAAGTTGGGATCTAGTGTCACATATTGTCAGGCACTGGATTCTGTAGATGGCAAGGTGAGATAACAATTACTATCAATTTTTTTTCATTATGGGTGCTGCTATGGCAACTCTACTCTTTTATATGTTGGCCAATTTCAAGAAATTGAAGTGTAATATGTACAGGTACATTGTTTTTCCTAGGTCATGGGCTGTTGCAATAAAGTAACGAATTCTCAGCTGGTTAGACCAGGTGTAAAGATTCCATTTATGGCTATTTGTGAGGCTCATCGTAAACGACTAAAGCTTCATCAGTGCTGTCCAGGATGTGGTCATTTCTGTACACAAGTAGGTGCAGTGTTACACTTTATAAGCTGAAGTAAATCTGTAGATGTTCCTTATTGTAATCATGATCAAAGCTGTTTGCTGATAAGATTTATTGGAAAAAAAGAAAAAAAAACTAAATTTTCTTTATAACTTTAGTTGAAAGTCTGTGGTTCAAGTAAAAGAAATGAATTTTATTTTGAAATTAAGTTAAATTTATATGATTTATTATTTCATATCAGCCTCATATACATAGACAGAGGAAAATGGCTTGTGTTTCAGCTTGACAAGGTTACAAAAGTACCTCAAATATCAGTAGAATTTCCAAGTCTTACATGTTAGTGATTCTTGTTGGGGAATTTTGCCCAGTGTTACATGAAGTGATTTTTGTAGGGGTTTTGCCAGTGTTACATGTTGGTGATTTTTTGTAGGGGAGTTTTGCCCAGTGTAGAAAGGTTCCTGAGGGTAGCAGTGGGATGAAGTACCCCATCCACCAGTTCCACAAACAGTGTCAGGTCCTGAGGAATGGGCGGTACTTCTGTCCTCACTGTGGGGAGGAGTCTGAGCAGTATGAGGTCTCACTACAGATGGATGAACCCCGCAGTATGACCAACTTTGAGGAAAAATACAACAAGCCTCAGTAAGCTATAGTTTGATTGAGAATGAGATTCCTATCATTTACATGTATGTACTTAAGTTTATAGCCATATGTTAAATGGTGCTAATCAATTTACTTATTATATTAATTTGACCATCTTCACAATGTCAAGATTTTTAATTTTGTTCCACTTCACAAACCCTTGACATGATTACATCTTCACAATGTCAAGGTTTTTCTGATATCATTCCTGTCAAGGGTTTGTGAAGTGGAACGATATCAGAAAACCTTGACATTGTGAGGATGTAATTTGACATGCATCATTGGCTTTGGTTCAGAATGAATTGGTGGAAGGGAAGAGAGTTTTGATATTTTATCTCTTTTTTTGCAGAGTTTCAAGAGCCAAGATGGGTATTCATTCCAATACCTATAGAAATTTTACGAAAGTGGATAAGGACCCCACAGAAGACGTGGTAACAGCTTCCCACAAGACACAGGACAAGACCATCTCCAATGGTAATACCATATACAGAGAATATACTGTACCATAAAAAAAATAATGGGTAAAGATACTAGATAGCTTTAAATTTTGATGTGAAATTTGGACTGTTTGTCTAATATCACAATGTAGTCATTATAGAGATTTTTATATCAGGTGGACTTCCCATGGGACCAGACAAGACAGCTCTAGAAAAAGTTCTGCAGTCCATGTCAGAAGAGAGGTATTACTATGCCCGCCATGAAAATGGCTGGGGTATATAGTGTTTGTTATGTCCATCTTCTATCCTTCTGTCCTTCTGTCTATCCTTCCGCCGCGCTTTGTGTTTAGCTCAGTTCAAAGCTCATTTTCAAAGAAACTATCCAAGATATTTTCATCGAACTTCATATGCTGATAGATATTGATGAGAGCTATGCAACTGCATCAACATTTTTTGACCTTGACCTTTCCTTTGACCTTGACTTCACTTTTCCTAAATTAGTGTTTAGCTCAGTTTTAAAGATACCATTCAAGATAGTGTAATCAAACTTCATATGTTGATACATACTGATAAGAGCTATTCAACTGCATCAACATTTTTGACCTTGGCCTTTCCTTTGACCTCTACCTTACTTTTCTTAAATTAGTGTCAAACTTCATATGCTGATACATACTGATGTAAGCAATTCACCTGCATCAACATTTTTGACCTTGACCTTTCAGTTGGCCTTGACCACACTTTTATAAATTTGTGTTTAACTCAGTTTTGAAGAAACCATTCAAAATATTTTTATCAAACTAAATATGCTGATACATATATGTGAGAACTATTCAACTGCATCAAAAATGTTTGACCTTGAACTTTCCTGTGACCTTGACCTCGCTTTTCTTAAATTTGCATTTTGTTTAGTTTTAAAGAAATCAATTAAGATATATTGATGTAAGCTTTTGCACTTATACATAATTTGGTGAGAATTTATCATCTATATCCAACTTTTTAGATTTCAATTTTAAAGAAACTTTTCAGGATATTCTCATCAAATTTCATACACTAATACAAATTTTCATGTTGCATTACTAATATACCCTCGGCGGGGCATTCATGTCCTATGGACATATTTGTAGTTTTTACAAGTGCATTGAAATTCCTTCAGTATTTTGATAAGTGCTCATCTAAAGATGTACATTTGATATCTTTTTTTCAGACCTAAAATGAAAAAGCTTCCCAAATTTTTATATAATCCAGCCTATGAGGGAGACTTAGAGAAGTTCATGATTATGATAGGTGAGTATTTTCTATTCAAATGTTAAAATTTGAATTGGAATATTTTTATCTATATAAAATTTGATCATCATTTGGATACATACTAAATTCTTTAGGAGAGGGGTTTGACATTAATGAAAAGGTGGAAGACTTTGAAAATCAGACTCCTCTACATGCAGCCTGTATAGCGGGGAGTCTGCCTATAGTTCATATTCTGATACAGGTAAGATTATCTCCCTTTGTAATCTTTTACAGGGTCTTCTTTTGACGAAAATGTTGAACACTGAATTGACCATCATTATAATAAACTACATTGTTCATTTGATGTAGATGGGAGCATTTATTCATGCCACTGACAAAGAATTGAAGACCCCTCTGATGTATGCAGCTGAATATAACCACCTAGCCATTGTCAAGTACCTGTTAAAATGTAAAGCCAATGTTAAACAAAAGGTAAAAAGGCACCATACAGTTTCATTAAATCTAACATTGATTTATGACTGCACATCATAAACTTCTTATTCCATGTTTAAGACACATGTGTCATTAATGTATACTTGTCCTTTTGATATGTAGGCTGAAGATGGCATGACAGTTTTACATTATGCTGCTAAAGCAGGTCATGTTGACGTTTTGAAAGTTCTGTTAGAATCTGATGAGGCTGATATCAACATGCAGGTCAGTGTCAAGTCACCCCACTCCATCCAATTCCTATCTTCCACCAAAGAAAAACCCAACATATGTTTACAATTTTGCTTATCTCAACAAGGTCACAATAAAGAATTCAACTGAAAAATTAAGAAACAAGATTGAGGTTTTTTCAATGGAACCCCCCATTTGTTGATTTATTGAACCTTTGCCTTGTTTTGGTAGGATGATGGAGGGTGGACTCCTATAATCTGGGCATCAGAGCACAGGATAGTTCCAGCAGTTAAATATCTGATCAAGAATGGAGCAGATCCAAACATGAAAGACAAGGTATAACACACACATACATACACATCTTTTCATTTTCAGAACAAATAATGGTCAAAATCAGCCATTGAAATAAGATCACTTTAAGGGAAAAAAAAAAAGAAAAACTATTAAAATATCAATCAAAAAAGAATTCTACATGTGCTCTTTAAAATTTCATTTATAGGAAGAGAATACAAGTCTGCACTGGGCTGCCTACTCAGGTAGTGTAGATATTGCAGAAATGTTCTTGAATGCAGGCTGTGATCTGGAAACACCAAATGAACATGGAGACAGACCCCTGTAAGTAGAGGAGTACTCTGAAACCTGACTTTCATAGCATTAATTAATATTTTAGTTTATGGTGATGATGCCAATTATCTAACATTTCATTTGTTCCAGACACATAGCAGCAAGACAGGATCATTATGAATGTGTAGTGTAAGTATTAGATTTTGATTGGTAAGAGATTGTAATTATGCATCGGTGTTTGATATCTTTGATTCTGTTGTCAGAATTTAAGCACAGCTGAGAAATGTTTTTTTCTTTTTAATTGACAGGTTATTTTTGGCACGTGGTGCAGATGTTGATGCCAAAAATAAGGAAAATGATTCTCCAATCGAGGTAATCATATGAAACACTCATGCATGACCCAGAAACTATATAAATTCTGACAATTCATGGACCAAGTATTGAATAATTTCTTACACTCTTTTAAAATGAATTTTCTCCATTCTGTTTTCTGCAGCAGCTAGCATTTTAATAGATTTATTATCTGGTCCAGAGAGATTAGGAGGCAAATCCACCCCTTCTTCAGTTTTCAGACTGGAGATGGGATCAAATTTGCCCAAATAAAATTGAGGAATTCAGTAGAAATTCTGGAGACCTTTATGATCCAGAGTTGTGGAATAGTTCCTTACAAAATGCCTCTACTACATGTACATTGTGTAATTTTCAGTGATCAATTATGAATGTGAAGTTAGAACTTTGTGTAATTTTAGTGTTGTATCAATGAGAATAGTCAGTCAGCATTGGCACTGAGAGTAAACAAGCAACTGAAAGGGTTTGCGGCCGCTCGACTGGGACGTACAGAAAAACTGATAGACAGGTAAGCCAAGTGATTTGTAAAATTCTTTTGTCAACTATATAAAATACAGACTACATTCACTAAAACTGAAACTGTGATTTGTAAAATTCTGTTGTCAACTATATAAAACACAGACTACACCTGAAACAGTGATTTGTAAAATTATTTTGTCAATGATATGAAGTACAGATTACAATTGAAACAATTCTACAGTTTGGTACAAAATTTCCTGCTCAGTAGGTCAAGTGTGATGTCAGTTATCTGCGTTTATAACTGTTTCTTCCTGTTTGTTGTAGAGATGTGTCTAGAGGTCGGGAGAACATTCCTATTGCTGTCATTAATGGTGTGGATGATGACCCTGTGCCTACAGACTTTCAATACATCACAGAAAATGTGGAGACCACAAATCTCAACATTAATGGTACCATCAACAGCTTGCAGGTAGGTGATAACTTTCTGCATTCCTTATTTCTTAACAGTTGTTTGGTGGTCTATAAAAAAAAAATTGTAAAGGCTATTCCCACTCACTTACTAAAAATGCTCAGTTTTATCTCTCAGTGTTTTGAGAGAATTTTGCTAAAATGAATTAAGCAAATTCAGATTATTTATATATTTCTAATGTAAGCTGGGGGATCTATTTTGTGACGTGAAAAGTCTGAATTGGGGCAGACTTCTGAATTCATCATGAATTAATGTTTGTGCACAGATTCTAACATAACAAAACCATATTTATCGTTTAATTTTTGTTCCTCAGAGGGATTGAATGATACAAAAATACACTGTTAATCATTTTTAGCTCACCTCGACGAAGTCCAGATGAGCTTATGCTATACCCGGCGTCGGCGTTAGCGTCGGCGTCCCGGTTAAAGTTTTAGGAGCAAGTCCCATTCCCAAGTAACTATAAGCCCTACCTGGACCAAACTTGCATGCATGATGCGTCTAGGGATGGACCCTACCACTCTTGCTCGGATGCTAGATTTTCTAGATGATTGACTAGGTTAAAGTTTTTGGAGCAGGTCCATTCCCAAGTAATGATTAGCCCTACCTGGACCAAACTTGCATGCATGATGCGTCTAGGGATGGACCCTACCACTCTTGCTCGGATGCTAGATTTTCTAGATGATTGACTAGGTTAAAGATTTTGGAGCAGGTCCATTCCCAAGTAACTGTAAGCCCTACCTTGACCAAACTTGCATGGATGATGCATCCAGGGATGGATGTTACCACACTTGCTTCGGATGCTGGATCTGAGCTAGATTTTCCACATGTATGATCAGGTTTAGATTTTGGAGCAGTCCTGTTCCCAAGTAACTATAAGCCCAACCTGGAGCAAACTTTCATAGATGATGCATCTAGGGATGGACACTAACCAACCTGCTTCGGATGCTGGATCTGACCTAGATTTTCCACATGAGCGAATTTTTGCTATATTTTAACCAAATTAGCATGGATAATGTATCTGGGGATGGACACTTCCAGACTTGCTTTGGATTCTGAATCTGACCTACATTTTCCAGATGAGTGACCAGGGTAATTTTTAGAGAAGCTTTATAATATTATGGCCTTTTATGATTTAACTTGCATAGATGGTGCATTTAAGGATGAAAACTTCCAGACTTGCTTTGGATGTTGGAACTCACCACAATTTTCTTGATTACTAAACAGCTTAAAGTTCTTTGAGCAGGTCTATTTCAAAGCTATTAGTCCTACTTAAACCAAACTTGCATGGATATTGATCTTGGGATGTAAAAAAAATTTTATGTGAAATTTGCCTTACTTATAGATAACGTTCGTCGAGGTGAGCTTCGTAATCTTTGATTACCTATGTTTTGAGCTGTGAGGGGTCCTTCAAACATCAGTCTTGTCCTCTTTTGATGTGGAATGTCAGATTTATTTTGCAACTAGATATGTGTGTGACTGTGCATCTTTTACTTCAAAATTAAACCAAGGAGATGTAAAACTAAACAGGTTTTCTAATTTTGGAATGGATATAAATAGTTTAATCTTATTTCTTTAATTTCAAAAACCACCTGTATAAATTATTTTGAAAAATGCTCCCTTGTCAAGCATCTTAGTTGAGTGGGCATAGCAGTTTATACTTGCAAGTTTATGAAGTATTCTGATTTAATGGATAACTCCTTTTTATGCCCCCTGCAATCAAAGATGGGGGGGGGGCATATAGTTTTTGGTCTGTCCGTCCAACATATTTCACCTCTTGATGTTGAAGTTTGACTTGCTTTTACAAAATATTAACTAACTTAAACTTTAGCCATAACTTCTGAACAGATAATGCTGGAGCTTTTATATTTAATATGTATATTTCATGTGATAAGAGTTTTCTTCATGTATCAACATTTTTGACCTGTTGACCTTGACCTTTGAGTTTGACTTTTTTTGGTCAAAAACAGTAAATGTGGCTATATCTGTAGAATGGTTGGTGCTAGAGCTTTCATATATATTTCATGTGACATGACCTTACCTTTGGTACCAAAATTGTTTGACCTTATGACCTTGACCTTGGAGTATGACATTCTTTTGAAAACTTTAATCTTGGCCTTATTTTCTGAATTGTCAGTGCTAAAGCTTTCATATTTCACATGTGCATTCCTTGTGACAAGACCTTTTTTTAGATACCAACATTTTTGAACTGTTGACCTTGGAGTTTGAACTACCTTTTAAAAACTTTAACCTTGGCATTGAGTTGCCATATGGGGGCATCAGTGTTTCACAAAACATGTTGTAAATTTTCAAACCAAATACCAAAACTTTTATTGATGTGTACTCCAAAATAAGAGTGGCATTTCCACCCCAACTACAATGCTTCATTTTGTTAGCTGGGATCAATTTTGCCAAGAGCAATGTTGGGATGAAGTCGAAATTCTGATTTCTTCATGAATCAGAGTTGTGCAGAAGTTCCTTACAAATCCGCAAATCTTCCTGAGCTGCATTCAAGATTGTAGCAGCTAATCTAGCTGCTAGGTTAGATATCTAGGTTTTATTGAATGCACTGTATGATTAAATGCTTTTTCTAACTAGGCTAGCATACCATTCAAGATCGTAGCTGCTATGATCTTGAACACAGCCCTGTTCTTCTTGGCTGTTGCTGAACTGTTCCTAGTGTGATTTATCTCTCTTTGTCTTTTGACCAGAGCTGTAGATGTAGTGATGATTGTTCCTCCATGTACTGTGTGTGTGGAAGAAACAGTGTCAAGTGCTGGTATGACAAGGTAAGTTAAACTTAAGAATTGGTCATATACATGTTTTTAAGATGAGATCTTCGGTTCTTGTTTGGATTATAAATGAGTAAACCAAATATTATATCTGATTATATTCATGAATAGAGACATCTATATAAGGGATGTCAAAATCCATCCAATGGATTATGTGACAAATCAGAAGCTTAATCAAGCAATATTTAATTTAAGCAAAACAAGATTGTTGAAATGTAGAAGTGTATTGTCAAAGTTGTGTTCAGGGTAATCCATATAATGGGGACATTTATACTGAAAATCTTTCATCAAAATAATGAAGTGTGTTTTACTTGTAATGAACATATGATTGATGTGAAAATAATAGCTTAAATTAATTCGTTTCATGACATTATTATTCAGTGGCCACCACACCCCCTGCCTATATTGTATTGTTTACAAATGGGGTAACTAAGATCTTCAGTGGCCACCACTCCCCAGTGCCTATATGACACTGTTTACAGATCTTTAGTGGTCACTACTCCCAAATGCCTAATTACATTGTTTACAGTTGGAGTAACTGAGATCTGAAGTGGCCACCACACCCCCTGCCTGTATTACATTGCTTACAGATGGAGTAACTTAGATCTTTAGTGGTCACTACTCCCCAGTGCCCATATTATATTGTTTACAGTTGGGGTAGCTTAGATTTTCAGTAGCCTCTACTGCCCAAGCTAACTGATCTTGAAAAGGAGAGCAGAACACTGGCAACTTTTTGTTCTCTCTTGTTGAAAACAGGTCGATATTCGCAGTGAAAAACTTCTGAAATCTGATTTTCAATCAGAAGCACTATAGAACAAGGTCCATAATGTTGCCAGACTTGAATTGTCCTGTTCTCTTACATATCCCATGTCATTATTGTGGCAAAAGATACAATTTCATTGAAATGAAAATTAGTATACAGTTCCCTTATTTTAATCTATCTTAGTAATGTTTGTAGTTCTTTGGTCACATAATTTCATTGTCTGGCTCAACCACCAAAATGTTGAAAATTGGAATACAACAAAATATGACAAATTCACCTTATTCTTGTGGAAGGTCATTTGATATATTAAGCAAAATACCTTTAGTACCTGAAAATGGTTAAGAATACCAAGGCCATTGATTTCATAACATTTAAATTAATATGAACTGCATTTTTGAGCATTTTATTTTGCTGTTAAAATATGCTATTATAATAAATCTGTATGTAATATAAACATTTATGACCAAATAATTAAATTCTGGTTATAGCTAAGGTATTTGATTGGATAACAAATTTACTTTATATCGTAAAAATTGGGTTGCTTACGCCACAATGACTTGTGTCAAAAATGTATCAATCCGCCTGACGTTACATTTAAATTTTGTACAATTTGAAGTCATTTTCAAGGGCACTCATCTTATTTTTCTTACACTAAATGGATGAATATTAAATTATAAGGAATGACTTTAATAGCTACACAGTTTATACAGTAATAAACTGGTGTGGAACAATTTACGCTTTTTTATTAACAGCTTTGCAGTTTATAAAGGGTAAACTGCCCCAACCTAGTTTATACCGTATAAATTGGGTACAGACCCTGAAACGTGCTACTACCCCAAAAAAGCATGTGACTTTCGTGCGCTTTTCGTTTTGTGCAAACCGTGTAGCGTTTCGTGTAAACCATGCAGCGTTTCGTGTAAATCGTGCAGCGTTTCGTGCAAACCGTGTAGCGTTTCGTGTAAACCGTGCAGCGTTTCGTGTAAGCTCCAAAGCGTTTCATGCAAACCGTGTAGCGAGCGTGTGAGAAACGTGCGACTTTCAAGTAAGAACCGTGTGAGAAACGTGCTACTTTCGTGCAAGAATCGTGTGAGAAACGTGTAGGATTCATTCGGAAGTCATTTTATTTTAAATATGGCTATTGATGGATTAACATGTCATTCTGTGTTGTTTGTAACTAATATTATTCGGATATATCATACCGGTGGTATTTTAAGAAAAAAAATACGGAAACAACAAAATAAAATTACTCAGTAATGTATTTCATATTTGTTTGACTTTCTTTCTTTTTTTACTTAAAGATGGAAAGAAAATGTGTTAAAAGTAATTAATTATATGCACATCAATGTCAAGGTATTTGATTCAATACATTTTTAAAGGGAGCAATACTGAACATTTTTTTAAAGAAAATTCGTCAGGAATCCGGTCTTGTCCTTTTCATTCATTTATTAGAATCTCTTCATCATTTTACAATTATGGTATATGGAGATTACAAGAACATATGGGTGATTAATACAAAATAATAGATAGATAAGGCAGGCGTGAAAAATAAAACACAAAATTTAGTGTGTTACTATATATATGGAGTATGGGAATTCTAGGCCGGGGAACACAATTAATTTTTTTCTTTATAAACGAACAAAATTTTCTTAAATGAATACTACAAGATTCTGATACAAATAATTTTGAAACGATGAGACATTTATAGTCTTTTTATGCATAAATTTGGTTGATTAATAATTGTCATATAAAGGAATCATAATTCACATGTATTGGCAAATATAAGGTTAAATATTTCCAGGGGTGGGGGGGGGGGTGGGGGTGGGGGGGGTGTTCAAATGAAAACTCAAACTTTGAGTTTTTGTTAACACGTTTTTATAAATAATTTTCTTTTTAAAGATGCCCAATGCACCCCTTAAAAATATATTTGAATCTTCTTTACACTTCCAACACTCTTCTTTCAACTGTGATCAAGGTCATTTACAACAGCGATCACAGGCTCCGCGTGCCGGGAACTGAAAATGTGTTCTGCTACATGTATTAGCTCTTGTCAATCATGTCTAAGATGACAACCGACAATAATTCATGAATTAAATTGTTTTATTAGTATTTAATGGGTACAAATGAATACCCGTGGATTTTATTTCTTAAATTTAACCAATTGTCTGTAAACAGTGAATTAATTTGCCAGTGTATTCGTGAATAAAAAATTATAAAGAATAAATCCTGAATAAATATATATTAGTTGTTTTATTAATCACGCAGTTCTAGAGCATAATTTTTTAGTTTTTGGTCATTGGACATGTATACATGTATATTGAATGTATTGTTAAGAGCCGCAACTACTGATTATATATACATGTGTATTTTTTTTAATTGTCTAGACGGGGTTTGAAATCGAGGATTTTACAAGGTGGTGGATATATTGTTTTTATTTAATAAACACAATGCCTCAAAAGAGAACTAAAGAATAACAACACCTATTCCCCGACTTCTCTACCATATAAAATTTTATGATAACTTGAAGTTCAACTCTGTAATGAAACGATATATTTACCATTCTGAATAAAGTGCATTTAATGAGTTACATGTATCGGGTCCCGCTGGAGATATGGATATCTTTTTTTCTCAGAAAGAGCATTTGTTTCTATAATATTTTTTTTCCAATGGTATATACTTACTGAAACAAGTGCCCGTTATATTTAGCCAGGTACAGAAGTAAGATCTCGGTAATCTACCCCCCCCCCCCCCCCCCCCCCTCTTTTTCACGCACAATGTTCTTGTTTGATGCAGTGTACTTACTACCTTTGCAAATTATAAGCAGAACCTAATTTAATCAAATGAAATTATTTATTTACTATTAAAAAATGAATAAACCAATAATTAAAAAAAGAAAGACAAAGAAAATCAATCCGTTTACAGAAAGCATACGCAATTTAATCTTTTTTTTTTTTCAAATCAATAACTGAGTTTATTTGTCAGTAATAAAAACGACTTTTTAATATCAAACTATAATTGTAAAAACATTGCATGCTGTAAAAGATTATGAATTACAAATATATATTTTTTCAGTGCGTAATTTAGAGTCTAATGAAAAAGGTTTGTATATAGAGGAATTCACCAGGCGGGTCACATACTCAATGACAACTATTAATTAATTACAACTGAACATTGAGTATTTTTTTCTGTTAATATAGTACTGGTGTATAGCGAGGTTTAATCTTAACTTAATCAGAATGATTGCAAATCTTAACTAATCTTTGATTAATCCGTAATAATTTAAATAAAGAATATCCAGATCGAGGCCAAAGCGTGCGAGAATCGTGTACAAAGCGTGTGAGAAACGTGTACAAAGCGTTTCGTGCAGCTTTTCGTGTAAACCCTGCATCCTTTCATGCAAAGCGTTTCATGTAAACCGTGTAGCGTTTCGTGCAAACTGTGTAGTGTTTTGTGTAAGTCGTGCAGCCTTTCGTGCAAACCGTGTAGTGAGCGTGTACCGTTCCTGCAGCGAGCGTGTGGGGTAGTAGAACGTTTCAGGGTCTGTAGCGACTAAATTTATTCCTTAATTAAACTAAAATAAAGTATTAAATTTTTTCAGAAGAAAGATTTCTGTACAATGGAATGCATAGTATTATATAAGAAATCAATATTGTACAGGATGACAATAATGTAATTTTGCTTCAATCAAAGCTTCTAAATAGTTCTTCCATCACAAATATGAACAACAGAAGTTTATAAACCCTTTTTTTCTGTCATTAAAATAATTACAATATTGCATCAAAAATTTCTGACGTCAAAGTTGCAGCTCATATTGCTTTAAACTGATATTTATATAAGAGACTGATATAACAAAATAACATATTGGCTGTATTACCATGTAAAATGTATAGTATAGAATATGAGAAATCATATTATAGTGGAAACATACTATTACAGCTGATTAATAAGTATACACTGACATTCCATTTGTTCATACATTTTATATATATATATTAAATTTTGGACCACATCAAAAATACCTTATTAATGACTTGTTGATCTGTTGATGTCTGGTTGAATGGAATCGGATTGGAAACCAATCTTTTCTTTGTAGAATTACCACCTGCTGCCTGATTTTAATATGGCTGAGCCTCCTTTGATCTTTGAATGCAACAAAGGCTGTCGATGCTGGAGCACCTGTAACAACAGGGTGGTGCAAAATGGCATAACGTAAGTTACGACTTCATTCATAGAGCTTGTATCAGAGCGTCACACAGTATCTAATTGAAGCTAATTAGCTAACTTGTTACTAATGTCATACAAAGCCACCTTGGTTAGAAGTTATTTCATGTACACTGCGTTGTAAAGTTAATTCTAATAATAAAGAAAAGACAAATAAGAAGGGAAGATTTATGTTTGCTTAATGAATATGATATAAGCTATGAAGACAAATTATTGATTGTGTTGAGTAGAATACTTTGGGTATTTTTTCACCAGTGTACAAGGCAAATCCACCCCTTTTGCAGAGCATATGCTGTAATCTGGGATCAAATTTGCCAAAAGAAATAAAGGAATTCAGTAGAAATTCTGGTTTTCTCTATGGACCAGAGTTGTGGAATTTTTCCTCACAACAACACATACAAGTCTTCTTTGGACAAGTTTTATAGTTCTGTGGGAAGAATTTTAAGTGTTTGTAGGCATTTTCACTTAAGGAAATATATGTATTCTCAAAAGAAATCTGTCACTACTAAAAGAAAAGGAAATTTTCTTCTTTATGCTCAGAACAGAGTGATGGATAACACTGTGTTCCCTTGCTATTTTATGGCTGGATCAGATAATGTATCATCTCAGGATCATGCTATATTATCTTATCTTCTTTGACTGTAGTGATTATTTTTTTTATTTTAATGGCAAATCCACCCTTTCTTCAGTTTACTGTGTTGTAGTTAGGATCAAATTTGCCTACAGAATAGTGTGGAATTTTAGTAGAAATTCTGGTGATACCATTTATTAAGTTGTGGAATAGTTCCATACACTCCATTTGCTTCTATTTTTATGTACAATGTATTAGTGCCTAGAATACCAAAAATATGCTTTCATTTAAAGGCAAATCCACCCCTTTTTCAGTTATATGAACTGTAGATGGGATCAAATTTGCCCAAATAAAATTGAGGAATTCAGTAGAAATTCTGGAGACCTTTATGGTCCAGAGTTGTGGAATAGTTCCTTACATTTACATGTATTTCTTATGACATACACATGAAAAAAAAATAGCATTGAGCAATTTAATATTTTCCTTTGATTTTATATGTAATAGAAATACACTGTACATCTGTATTGAGTATTGTGTGATAAGGCCACTTGAAACATTTTTTTGCCAAAAGAAAATTCAGTAACTCATTAGAAAATCAGAAGACTTCTTTTGATTCCAGATTTTGAAATTGTTTATAACAGTTATGAAATTTTTGATGAGTAGTATATTTTAATTGTACCTCTTTTTGAATTAAATCTTATGGGTTGTCAGTTACTTGCCTGCCTGCATTTTCGCTCTGGGCTTATCCATTGATATAAAACAAAGTGTAACATCGTCTCCCAGGGTATGTTTCGGAGATATATTTTCATTCCTTTGATTACTGTGCTCTACCAACGTCTTGTTTGTTTGAAATGTTCATCTGTTTTATAATTGTTTTGTTTTGTAGATGTCGCCTACAGCTAGTGAAGACAGATGGCCGAGGCTGGGGAGTGAAGACTTTACTAGACATTCCTAAAGGCATCTTCATCTGCGAGTAAGTAGCATCATATTCATAAAGGCATTCTCATCTTTAAGTAAGTAGTGTATTAATTCCTAAAGGCATTTCCATCTGTGAGGAGCCTATTAGTTCCAAAGACATCTTCATCTGTGAGTAAGTAGCAAACTAGGCATTTTCATCCATGAGTAAGTTGTGTATTTGTCTTAGAGGCATCTTCATCTGTGAGTATGAAGTGTATTAACTCGTAAAAGCACCTTCTGCGAGTAAGAAGTTTATTAAGGCCTAAAAAAAAATAACTTGGTTCTCAGGCCAGTTTTCTCAAAAATAAATGTGAGAGGAAGGCTTTTTTCCCCCTTTTTACCTCATAAAAACAGTTTTGATTTTTTTTTTCTGAATTTCAAAACTTAGCAACTTGCAATCAACATTGCTTTAACACTGAGTGTAGAAATCAATATCATTTATTTCCTCCTTCTTTCTCTTTTTGCATCTTCTACATTCTGATGATTTGTGTAATGAAACGAAGGCATCCTAACAACCAGACGTGTTAAATTTACACATCCCAACACTTTAAGTGATGCATCTGGTCAATTGCTTAGGTATCACAACTAATCTAAGAGTGTTTCAGCACTGTAAATAGCGCTTATTATTTTATGAAACAGTGTCAAATTTATGAGTCTCTGGTTTACCCAGACTTAATGAAATTGGCAAATCTTGCAGAGGCTTTTCTGAAAACGTCCAAGTTCCAAGGTTGAGGGAGCCAGCTTTGATAGCATTATTGAGTTCTAGCATGGAACAACCTTCACAAACCCCCCAATATGTGCCATAGAAGTATTACAGTAATTCCCTTATGAATTTGCAATGAAATCTATGCCATCATGACCAAACTTAATCATGACACCATAACCTGTTAACTTGACGGCCATATTTGCGATTCTTAACTGGGTCGCTAGTCTGGATCATCTTGATGTTTGTCAAACATTTTACTGATGGGAGTATCTAAAATGCGGTCAAATGCAGTCAGGGATTCCAGATTTTTTTGTTCCATTCGAGTGCATGAGAGAAATTTTATGTTATTCATTTGAGGATAAAAATGGGTAATGCGCATTGCTAAATAAGATGCGGGCGGGCCTGAGAACCAATTTATGAATTTTTTAAGGCCTTATTCCTAATGACATCTTCATCTGTGAGTAAGTAGTGTATATTAATTCCTAAAGACATCTTCTGCAAGTAAATAGTGTATTTATTTCGAAAGGCATCTTTATCTGTGAGTAAGTAGTTTATTAATTTCAAAAGCATCTTCATCTGCGAGTAAGCAGTATAATAATTTCCTAAAGGCATCTTAACCTGGGAGAAAGTAGTATATTAGTCCCTAAAGGCATTTTTATCTTTGTTTAACAAGGGTATTATTTCATTAAAAGTATATTCATTTGTATTCATTTGCAAGTAAGTAGTGCATTATTTCTAAAGGCATCTTCATCTGCAATTAAGTAGTGTATTAGTCCTTCATTTGTGAGTACCTTATTAATTCTTAAGGCATCTTCATCTGTTAGTATTGTATTATTCCTAAAGGCATCTTCATCTGCAAGTAAGTAGTGTATTAGTCCTTCTTCATTTGAGAGTAAGTAGCTTTTCAAAGAAAAGAAATTATATGGAGCTAACAAGAAAATCTTGCATCTCCTCTAAACAAAACTAAAAAAATACATGCCTTTTAATTTATCCAAGTGAATATAACTGTGAGTTAGGAATAATTAGGAAGAATTTGGTCAAAAGTGATTATCTTAAGGTGATGTCCTATTTGTCCTCATTGCTAGAACAGCCTGAACTGATTTAGGTACTCACTGACTTTGATATGGTAAATTTAGATATTGAGGCCAATGTATGCATGTAGCATTTACATACTATGACCCTTATAGTAGTTGTAGTCACAGCTATAGATTTCAAAAGCATTGATTCAGTTAAAATTACCCAGAAGTCGTTTCACCAGTGTTTAAATTGATACCTGTTGATTGAAATTGATTGCAGTTATTTTCTTCTATATATGCATTTGGAATTACTACCAAAAACTAGAATTAGATTCAGATGAAGATGCATGCTTTTCTAAGAAAAAGAAAGACCTGGAAATCTGCTATACTTGATTGACTTTTTGACTGTTTACAGGTATATTGGGGAGCTGATATCAGACTCCGAGGCAGATGGAAGAGAGGATGATTCATATCTTTTTGATCTCGATAATAGGGTGTGTATTCCCCTGAAATGTCTACAATATAATAGAAAAGTGAATGTGCTTCAGGGGAAAAAATATATAAACATGCAAAAGAAAAGTCACTTTCATTATACACATACCAAGTTATGCTTTTCAGCATTTATGATTTTATATTATGTTCAAGGTTAAAATGACCTTTCCAATGAAAACATTTAAACTTGAGAAAAAGTTGTTAATTTACCTTTTCCATTTTTTTAATACATATGTACTAAAGAATATTAGAAATTTCTTGTATTAGAGATTTCTTTATAATATATATAAAGTATGAAGAAGTCAAAACTCTATTTCAATGATATGAAAACATTTTAAATACCACAACTGTATGCCCTTACAGGATGGCGATACATACTGTATAGATGCCAGGAGGTACGGAAATATTAGTCGTTTTATCAACCACCTGTGTGAACCTAACATCATTCCAGTTAAAGTGTTCGTGGACCACCAAGATTTACGATTCCCTCGCATCTGTTTTTTCTCCTCCAGGGAGATCAAGGCAGAGGAAGAGTTGGGGTAAGTCTTCTTCAGTTGTGTTTACTTGTTTCCTGTTCAGATTTTGTTTTGTTCAGTTGTGTTTTTGTTGTTTGTTGTTCAGTTGTGTTTTGTATACATTATATTTTGTTTAGTTTTGTAAATTGATTTTGTTCAGTTGTGTTTTGTTGTGTGTTGCTCAGATGTGTTTTGTTCACAATTTGTTCAGTTGTGTTTTGTTGTGTGTTGCTCAGATGTGTTTTGTGCAGATTTTGTTCAGTTGTGCTTTTAATTGTGTCTTGTTCAGTTATATTTTTTTTATTCTTTGTTCAGGCTGACTTTGCTCAATTGTATTTTGCTTAGTTATGTTTTGTCTTGTTCATTTATTTCTTTTTGTGTCCTGTTCAGTTTTGTTTGCTGTGTTTTGACCAGTTGTGTTCTTTTAGTCTTGTTCCGGTGTCATGTCATTATTTCATGAAGATGTAAGTTGGAATGTGGGTTTATGCCAATAGGTATGGTCACCTTGATGTCAGATTTGTGAAGAACTTTTTTTTTGTCTTCAATTCTCTAAGTAAATTTTTATAGTAAGAGTTTTACCGGGGGTAGCTATTTTTTTGACTGTTGTTGTTCAGTAAAAAAAATAAAAATTGCAAGGCAAATTGCAGATCAGTAAGCACAGAAATGGTTGTTTTACAAATTTAAATATGACTGTCATTTGTTCATATTCAATGGTGTACAGTTTGCGTTAGAATCAGATGTTTTAGATGGACTTAACCATGCAGAAGCTGTTTGTAAAGCAGAAATTGCCTTACACACCAATCTCATACATGTTCCCTGAAATAGCTGGTCAGAACAATTTTGCATTTTATAAATACTCTAATTTTCATCAATATGCAATTTCATTTGAAGATTGTGAGATGATAATTGAGAAAGATGTAGCAGGGATTTTCCACACCATTTTGACCCTATTTAGTTTGTCCAGTTTTTGTGCATTTGAATATTTAGCGTAAAGATTTTGTTTGGGAAAAATGTTGTTTTTTTTTTCAATTCGGAATGGGGCCTATATTCAGCCCTACATGGGGCAGTTAAAAATCTCTGTGTAGTTTCTGTACATATAGCTGCAAAACTAATTCATGTAACAGCCAAAGGTGAAGTGGAAAGATATTTTCAACAACACTTATTTCTTTGTGCAGTTTAAATGCTAAATGCCACAATTAAGTCAATATGGGTCAAGGAATTGTAGTACTGTAAACTTGTCCGAGTCCACAAAAGCTATATTTAAAGTTAATTTTATTTCGTATATTCTTCATTTGAAATCAAAGTTGGAAAATTGAAAATGTGCTATTAATCCTCAAAGTGATGTTGAAAGTTGATGAAGTAATCCAAGTTCAAGATAATATTTGCCAGTTATGAGCAGAAAGATTGTAAACAACAACTGTAGTGCTTATATAATTCTATTTTAAGTATACTACCATTATGGATTGCCACCTAATTGCATTGAAAAATATACGAACTGATTTCAAATTGCTTAGAAAAAGTACTTCAATTAATGAAATGGCTGTGAATATTGTAGGATTCCCTTGATGGCAATTATTTCATGTTAGACAAAGTGTTTTTGGACATCTTGCACTTGTTGAATAAATCCCCAATAATGCTGATTGACTTTGAAGATAATTTTAGCAGAATCAAATGGCAGAATGGCTATTAAAGAAATTAATTTTCAAGAGTAAGTTTTCATTTGTTTCCATTTCATTTTCTACACTGTCACTAAACAACAGCTCAGAGTACAGTGCATATTGAATTTATTTCTCTACAGAAATTGCTTTGTTCTGCTAAAAAAAGCAGTGTTTGACAGTAAGACAAGAAAAAAATGAAGTTTATTAGAAAGCTGTTGATGCAGGATAACGACTAAAGCTAACAAACTACAAATTATTAAATGTGTCAGATCTATTTCCCCCCATCAGAACGCCATTTGACATTTGAGTGTCTTTTATGCATAGAATGTTGCCATGGCAACTAGTCCTTACATTTAATATGTTTGCTTCTTGATTGGCACTAAAAGCTTCAAGGTAAGATTTAGGTGGAATTTTACAGTCACTATACCGGAGAAGAAAAAAACTGGCATTATGACGGAGGAGGAAATTTTATGAAGAACAAATACTGGTGTCTGGTATTTTGTTATGAAAGGTTTTGATGGTTATTAAATTGCTAATGATTTGTTCTTCTGATCTTTTTGAAATGTCAAAAATGAGATAAGACAACTTTAATAGCTTACAGGTCTTCTTTAAAGTACCATTTATAGCTCCTGCAAACATTATACCCCAACAAGGATATTGCAGGGAATGTAGTGTTGTCTTCTCCATCTTTCTGTCTGACAAACTTTGCCTCAGTTTTAAAGGAAATGTTTCAAGATGTTTTTATAAAATTTCATACACAGATGTCAAAGTTTTCTGATGGTGACCTTGACCTCCCATTTGAAATTGATATTTTTTCCCATTTTGCATATAGCTTAGTTTAAAAAAAATGTTCTGAATATTTTTCATCAAACATGAGGCACATATTTGTTGATGGTAGCAATTCAGTGGTCAATCAACAATAGGCACTAAGTACCACACCACAATAAGGCAACACTATACTTTAAGTATGGATTCCATTGAAGAAGAAAAATTCAACAGTTTTTCCTTAATTGCATTCTACCACTAGCTCAGACAAAAAAAACCAAGTACATTTCCTTTCATGTCTGGAGACTTGTTTTTAATATAGCGGCCGCAAGGAAATGATAGAATTGAACTCCATATTGGTCAAAAACTTAAAAGTTTTTCTTGATAAAATGATTGTTCTACAAGAGTTACTTAAAAATAAGACATTATCAAAGAGTATGTCATTAAAACTTTTTGCCTAGCCATTCCCTTTATAATGTAGGGATTAAAGCTTCACATGTGGCCTGAACCAGGGTACTATAATATCATCATGAGCAAATTTGAATTTTCTGATGATAGAAAAATCTTTTCTGAAATCATTTCTTTTTAAATCAGAGGTTTGTTTCATAAACAAAATGTTTTTAACATGATCAGTGAATAAAGGTTAATGATTGAAGAATAGTCAAGGTATGATAAAGTCTGATTCCAAGTGCAGTGATTAAGTTGTACTTACTCTGTCTATGCTTGTGGGATTTTTAGTGTCATTTTTAAGGCAGGTTTGATTGTGTTTATCACCTATTTTCTAGCATAAACAGACTTTAATCAAAGTATCATTAGTGATGATAGAAGTAATATAAAATCACCAGGTAGGTTGATCCAACTAAAAGATAAGATAAATAAAAGAATACTATAGATGTTTTTGGATGTTTTTGCAAATTACAGTAGATCATTTGAAAGCTCTCAAGTGTCTAGATGTTCATATGAAAGAGATATATGTTCGAAACCCTATGTGCATGCATGTTAATTATGTTCCCCAAACGAAGTTTGGGAACATATTGTTTTTACTTTGTTTCTTATTATGTTCCCCAAACGGAGTTTGGGAACATATTGTTTTTACTCTGTTTCTTATTATTATTATTATTATTATTATTATGTTCCCCAAACGAAGTTGGGGAACATATTGTTTTTACTCTGTTTCTTATTATTATTATTATTTTTCTTCTTCTTCTTCTTCCTGGGTACTTTTTTGTCCGCGAGTGATCTCGTCAACTACTCATCCGATTGAGGTGAAACCTTTTTAGGGTTAATAGGCATGTTATGTAGATTTGCGGAATCAAGGTCATTTTGAGCGCACGTGCATGCACGTGCGTGCGCGTGCAATGGGTAAAATGACCAATATACTTGATATAGCTGTAATTTTATATTTTTTGGTGAAATGCTTTGATACTCAGAATATAAGGATATATTAAAAGTGTGAACAAGATGACATGGTCAACATGCACATGCATGCACGTGTGCGCACGCGCAAAGCGTAAAATGACAAATATACTTGATATACTCGTAACTTTTATACTTTTTGATGAGATGCTTTGATACTCAAAATTTTTATATATATTAAAAGTGTAGACAAGACGACATGGTCATCGTGCACATGCATGCATGCATGCATGCACGTGCGCGCGCGTGCAATGTGTTAAATGACCAATATACTTAATATAGCCGTAATTTTTATATTTTTTTATGAAAAGCTTTGATATTAAGAATATACAGATATATTAAAAGTGTAGACAAGATGATTTGGCCATCATACACATGGATGCACATGCGCGCGCGTGCAATGTGTTAAATGACCAATATACTTAATATAGCCGTATCTTTTATATTTTTTGATGAAAAGCTTTGATACTATGAATTAACAGACATATTATAAGTGTACACAAAATGGCATGGTCATTATGAACATGCATGCAGGTGCGCATGCGTGCAATGCTAAGATGACCAATATGCTTGATTTAGCCGGAACTTATATTTTTTGATGAAATGTTTTAATACTGAGAATATAAAGATGCATTAATAGTATAGATGAGATGACATGGTCATCCTGCACATGCATGCACGTGCGAGCGCGTGAAATGCAAAAAACTATCAATATACTTCATTGCCTTATTTAATGAAGCTTACAGGAAAAAAGTCACCAAAAGGGAGTTGGGGAGCGTTTGGGGAACATCTGTAACGGTCCCCGTTACAATTATAACTAGTTAAGGTCTTCCGTTCCAGACGGAAGACCTTATAGTGATTGTACTGTTTATTATTATTATTATAAAGGTCTTCCGTTCCAGACGGAAGACCTTATAGTGATTGTACTGTTTATTATTATTATTATTATTATTATTATTTTTTTCCCTTTTTTTTGTCGGCAGGATTTCTCAGAGATGACTGGATGGATTTTCCTGAAATTTTCAGGGTTGATAGAGAATGAAAATACCCCGAGGCGTTTTTTTCATTTTTTCAAAATTCACTTCCGGTCGTCAGATATGTCCGATTTCCGTTTTTTTCAAAAATATTTTTTCCGAGTGAGATCTCAGAAACGGTAAGAGATTAAGACACCAAACTTATACGAGT